ATGTTCCTTTAGCAGATCCTTTATGGTGGTGGAAAAGGGTTAAATAGACATTATTCAGTCAATTGACAAAATTATAATAAGGATAGCAGGTTAGATTAAAAGTATTTGATAAGCCCTGGCTGGTGTGGCTCAGTTGGTTGGGCATCATTCCACAAAGTGAATGGTCACCAGTCCATTCCAGTCACGGCGCATGCCTGGGTAGCAAGCAGGTTCAGTCCCCAACCAACATATACAAACCAATAGGTGTTTCTCTCTCACATCAGTGTTTTTCTCCTCCTCTGTCTCCCTTCTTCTCTCTCTAAAAATAATTTTTTTTAAAGTATTTGAGGTCTTGAGGTGGTGCCAATACCCCTCTTGGCTGTGGCCCCGGGCTATAGTCCTGGCCCCTGCCCCCTTGGATGGGGTTCAAGCTAAAGGCTGCAAGGCCAAAGAGGCACCATGGTTGTGGGGTCCAGAACAGCACCGAGGCAGTGAATAACATCTCTTCAAGTCTGCAATAGAAATTTGCCTCCAGTGAAACTACATTGCAAAAAGTGGGAAAGAAACAGAATGGAAAGAATAAAAAAAGTCAAATAGGCAGAGTCTGAAGAATTTGTAGTGAAAAAAGTATTGGACTAATGCATAATGAATGGGAAGGTGGAGCATTTCCTGAAGTGAAAGGGATGCACAGATGCTGACAGTACTTGGGGACCTGAAGAAAATTTAGATTGTCTAGAGTTAATTGAAGCACTTCTTAGTTTTCAAAAAGCTGGTAAAGAAAAGGATGGTACAAAAAGGAAGTCTTTATCTGACAGTGATTCTGATGATAGCAAATCAAAGAAGAGATATTGCTGATAAACCAAAAGGCTTTGCCAGAGGTCCTGATCCTGAACGAATCCTGAACAAATAATAGGTGCCACAGACAACAGTGGAGAATTAATGTTTTTCATTAAGTGGAAAGATTCAGATGAGGCAGATTTGGTGCTGGCAAAAGAGGCAAATATGAAGTGTTCTCAAATTGTAATTGCATTTTATGAAAAGAGACTAACTTGGCATTCTTGTCCAGAAGACAAAGCCCAATAAATATTTGCATTGCTTTACACACACACAAACACACACAATCTGTGTCATGGTTTTTTTACTTATTAGCATGAAGAAATAACTACATTCTAATAAAAATCAAGTTTGATGTGTTTGTTTTGAAGTAGTACTAGCAGAGTTGTGGGAAGTTTCTATGACTGGTTACTTTGGAACAAAATCTTTATGTAGTTGCTTCCTTTATCAGAAAATAACATTTGATACCACAGTATATTCTTTCCTCTGCATTAGAGAACAGCTTTTCTAAATGTGGGGGAAATCTCCATTGTTGTTACTCAGTCAGAATCTGTGTTTAAGTCATATATGCCAAAGGATCATTGTGGGGGGTGATGCAGATTCATTGTTCTACCTGCTCAGTCATTTTGAATGTGATGGCCACACAGTACACATGCTCACTCAACAGTATCTATGGTTCCCACTGACTAGTACAGTGAAGTCATCATTGTTCACACATGCACATTCTAGTCCACTGTCCTTGGATGCCAGATTATATAGATGTACAAATTATTCTCATTATATGAACAATGGCTGGACTTTTTCCAGACAGACATCATATATTGTTTACTTTATTATAAATACTGGTAAACAGTGGTCAATAAATACTTTTTAAAAAAAGTATTTGATCAGTGTTAAATTTACTTTGCATAAAGGAATTCCTAATCTTAAGTAATACATGCTGAAATATATAGGGGAAAAAAGCACATTATGTATGCAACTTGTTCTCAAATTGTCCAGAAAAAAAAATGTATGTGTGTATATATTAAAGAAAAAACGATGGACCCAAAATGGCACCACTTGTGTTAGAAAGAGAAACAGAGAAGGAGGAGGAGAAGGGGAAGGGAGGGAGGGAGGGAGGGAAAGAAAAAAAAGAAAGAAAGGCAACGATAACCAAACCAAGATTTAATACCTTATCTAATTGCAGTTTCAACCTCTCCCAGAAATACAATCCTAATCAACCAGTCTGGAATTTTCTTGTCAAGCACCAGTAAGTAATCTGTCACCTGGCCTCTCTCCATTTCCCATAGAAACAAGAGTCGGTCTGCATGATAAAAACTCTACTTTTGAGGTGATAGAGACGAAAGACAGGAAAAGGGCAGGCCAGGCGAGCAGGTGGACCGACTGACCAGACAGCCAGCCAACAACAATGAACTAACCTAGCAGTCCACCACTCCCGCATCTAGCCAACTGCCAAACAAGTTAACCCGAGCCCCTCCACCATCAACTGAGCTTCAGCCGGCTTCCACAGCCGTCGTGGCAGCCCCGGGAGGAGCACTGGCGTCCTTTTCCTTCGATCCTCGGGATTTGAAGATGGCTGCACAGTCAGCGCCGAAAGTTGTGCTAAAAAAGCACCACCAAGATGTCTCTAAATGAGCACTTTACTAATATGCTGAAGAACAAACAGCTGATGCCAGTGAATATTCGGGCTTCAATGCAGCAACAACAGCAGCTAGCCAGTGCCAGAAACAGAAGACTGGCCCAGCAGATGGAGAATAGACCCTCTGTCCAGGCAGCATTAAAAATTAAGCAGAGCTTAAAGCAGCGCCTGGGTAAGAGTAACATCCAGGTACGGTTAGGCCAACCCATAGGGGCCCTGGCCAGGGGAGCAATCGGAGGATGAGGCCTGCCCATTATCCAAAGAGGCCTGCCCAGAGGAGGACTACATGGGGGACGTGCCACAAGAATCCTACTTTAGGGGCGGGATGTCGCGCCGAGGTCAAAACCTGCTCTGAGGTGGACGAGTCATAGCTCCCCGAATGGGCTTAAGAAGAGGTGGTGTTCCAGGTCGTGGAGGTCCTGGGAGAAGGGGCCTAGGGAGTGGAGCTACGGGTCATAGTGGAATCGGTGGTAGAGGTCGGGGTATGATAGGTGGGGGAAGAAGGGGCTTTGGAGGCAGAGGCCGAGGCCGTGGACGAGGGAGAGGTGCCCTTTCTCGCCCTGTACTGACCAAGGAGCAGCTGGACAACCAACTGGATGTATACATGTCGAAAACAAAAGGACACCTGGATGCTGAGTTGGATGCCTACATGGCACAGACAGATCCGGAAACGAATGACTGAAGCCTGCCTGCCCTCCTGTGAGAGACTCTTGTTAAAATTACCACATCTGTAAATAACCTTGAGATAACAGATGAGAAGAAACCTACCTGATTGATGCTGGAAGGACCTATCACAATAGACTATGGACTTAACTTGCCACCAGTTTGTGCATTTAGTGTGTACCTTTTATTTTTTTGATACTACATTGTATGAAATCCTTTTTTCCTCTGACTTGGGTTTGGTTTCGTTTTATTATTTTGGCTTTATTTGGGGTTTTTTTCCCTCCTCCCAGACTTCTCTTTGAACATGAACATGTTGGCCCTCTTACCACCCCTGCCTTCCCCTCACCTGTTATATATGCCCTCGCATTCTAACATTTCCTGTATTCACCTGTATACCCTCTGGAAAAAGTCCCAGCAATAACTCATCAGTGTTCTTCCCTAACACCTAGGTTTTTGAGATACAGTTTTGTTCTGTATCACTCTAATAGACTCTTAGAAGTGTTGAGAAAATCTGGAGTTCAAAAATGCACTCTGCCACGTTGATAATTTTTAGTGTAGTAATTTGGGAACATTGACCTAGCTGCAGGGCCACATAACAGGTTATATACATGGTAGCAGCGCTGATTGAAGTTGCCGCCATGTGCACTGACACCACATAACGTGTGCTGCTTTGGGTGTGTGCATAATTTCTACCCTGGAATAAGGTTTATAAACCTTGGCTTTATGTCATATCTAAAGGGGCCCTGTTGGGTTGGCTTATTCCTGAAATAGAGGGAAAAGCCATTCAGTTAAGCAGATGCTTCAGAAGGAGTGGGAGAAATATCGCAGGTACCTGCTGGAGAGGGTTCAGAAGATACCCATTCTGAATGTAATTCTTAGGTTTATCCCAAACCAGTCTTAGGATTTTCCATACATTGGCTTTGTTTGACCCTCTTTTCTTGAAGGTTTGTAAGTTAACCATATCCTGTCAAATGTCCCAGTTTCGGTGGAATCTTGTATTTCTGGTTTATTATAACAAGAAATTGTTCTCTCAGAGGGAAAAAAAAAAATGTACTTTTGAAATCAAAAAAATAAACTAATTTCCATTTTAGAAAAACACAATGAACTAAAACAATCAAACCAAACCAAAAAACTAGTGGAGGGTCACTGGAAATGTTTAGAAATGTTAAATGAGAAAAGCAGGTCACAAAACAGTATTTTACATACTTAATATTAGTTGATTTAATATGTGTATTTGATGCCTTGAAAAATCCTGGAATGAAAATGCTCCATCGTTAACCATTTCTATCTCTAGGTAATATAATTTACAGATGTTTTATTTTCCATGTATTTTCCTAATTTGCATATATTACATTTGGAAGTGAGGCTGGGGGAGAAGAGTGGGAAATGTGAGAATAATTTGCCTTTATTAGAGACAGAGGTACTTAGTAGTTTCCAGTAACATTATTCCTATCTTTGGGAATAGTAGCTGCTTACCTGGATGAATACGGGTAGGTACTAAGTGAAGAGAGCTCTCTAGTCTTGTTACAGATGTGAGTTCAGTGGTCCAGAGCAGAGACTTTCAACTGGTGTGCTGCAAGAATTTTTAAAACATGCAATTCCTATTTAGTCAGGGGCACTGACCTCTTTTCCATTAGATTGTCAAATTAAAAAAATGACAAGAGCCAACACAATTGTTGCCCAGTATGACTGAATCAAAATTACACCTATTTTTATTGTCACATTGGCTATATTTCCTGGTGTGTCACAGAATTTAAGTAATTAGTTTGTGTGTGCTGTGAGATGAAAAAGGTTGAAAATTACTAGAGGATTTTTGCTTTTGTAAATGCTGCTTTTTTCTTTGACAGTTGCATTGATCATTTTTCTAACTTTGTGCCTCCTGCAGGTGCTGCACTACCTGGCAATACAGAAACCTGCAGACCTTGCTCGGCACCTGTTACCTTGTGTAATTCATGCAGCTGTACTCAAAGTAAAGGAAGAAGGTAGATATCTTACTTGATTAGTAATTAGTTCATTTCTAAAATGAAAGTATATTTTGTCTAACTTATTTAATAATGACTTTGATTTTTTTAAAAACAGAAAATCTGGAAAACATTTCTTCAGTTAAGAAGATTATAAAGCAGATAATATCCCATTCCAGTAAAGTTTTACACTTTCCCAATCCAGAAGACAAGAAATTAGAAGTAAGTTCGAGTAGTGTGAGGATCTTGCCAAGTGTTCTCCTCGGTTGGCAATAATTACTTTCAAGATACATTTTTAAAAGGCTTTGCTTCTTTTTGGTGTTTTCCAATGTATGGCTTTTCCTTTTCTATTGTTAGGAAATCATCCATCAAATTACTAATGTGGAAGCCCTAATTGCTAGAGCCCGCTCACTGAAAGCCAAGTTTGGAACTGAGAAATGTGAACAAGAGGAGGAAAAGGAAGATCTTGAAAGGTAATTGCTATTTGACTAATACATTTTTGTCTGCAGTAGAAAAGCCACCACTCTCTTTAGAAAATTTTAAGAAACATGGAGATCCTTTTGTGACACTCCTATGTTGTTTGTAACAAGCATTGGCTAGAGACAGAGAAATACATAGATTTGACCTCTACTGTATTTCTGAGTATTTGCTATGTGTTTCTATTCCTCCCACTTTCAGAAACAATTCTACCAGGTCTCGCTCTACAGTGCTCCTTGTTTGCTCTTTGAGATGTGGTGCCTGCAGTTTCATGAGGAGAAGCTGTTTACTCTTTGTTGCTTGAAGTGCCCCAGAGCTTTCCTTTCAGCTCTCACTGTTCCTTAACCATAGTGTGAAGTGTTCCACAACTCTTACTTCTGCTCAATAGTCATTTAATTTTTTAAAAGATTGATAATAGCAAAGGTGCATTTACCATGCACATTACAAATACGTTTTGAAAGTGACCAGATGGCCTCTCCAGGATGAGGCAAATGACCGACCCAGTCGGTCTTTTCCTCCTACTGAGGCAGTACCATTTCCGAGGCGGCCTTTCAACACAAGCCCGTCTGGTTTTGCCCATTGAAAGGACAGTGTTGTTTAAATGTGTGATAAAGCATTTCCAAATTAGCTACTTCAGTAACTTGAATTTGTTACAACATTAACATTTTCATTAACCTTTCCACAAGGAATGGCATTATTGGTGCTAAATAATTAATAGTATAGGACAAGGCATTTGCTATAGCTTTTAATAAGTTTTTGTTTGAATTTTTTATCTTTTGTTGAGTGAAATTTTCTTCCAGACTTCTTTGCTCTTGAAAAGGCCTTACTTTTAAATAAGAATAAGTTCTAATCAAGCAAATCACTTCTAAAAATAGCAGCATGAATTAGTGAGCAGGTGGCATATGCGTGGTGACTCTGTGCCTTTGACTCTCTTAGCTCCCCCCTATGTTATCTGTGATGAAGTTGGAAGTACAGTATTTCCAGCACAAAATGGCACAGTTTACAGTTGAGACTGCCCAGTAAAACACATATGTTGTGTACATGTGCGTGTATGCACACGCACACACGCTTATACACTTCAAAAGAACAAAAACAAGAAATATAGATCATTGCTTTGCTGTGTAGATGAAACTTGGTTTTTGCTGCCAAAAAAAAAATTTTTTCTGCCTTTTATTGAATATTTCTACTTATGCTTTGACAGAGATGGGCTTTTCACAAATTTTATGAAAATAGTTGAAAGGCGGTGAGATTGTCATTTGAGTAGATTTTAATTCTAAATGTCAGTCTATCTTGTTATAAAATTTCCACTCCAGCCATGGTAGTTTAGCCAGTATCAATTTGAGGGTTCGCCCACAGAGTTAATCGGGGAGGATAGACATCACGGGAACTGAGTGGCTCACCTTCTCTTCTTTCTACCCTAGGTTTGTGAGCTGCCTCCTAGAGCAGCCCGAAGTGGTGGTGGTTGGTGCAGGAAGGGGACATGCTGGCAGAATCATTCACAAGCTGTTTGTGAATGCACAGAGGGTATGTGAGATTCCTTGTTGACTGTAACATTGCTTCTCCAGACCTCTACTCAGTAGGATGCTGTTTTGATTCCTGCACATGGCTGCTTGTACAGCTCCTAGCAGAGTATAAGTCGGGGCATGGAGTTTGAGCACTGAGGAAACAGTGACTCTTAGCAGTGACTTCTGAGTTTTTCTAACCCATTTGCTTTCTTACATTTTAAGTAAATCAATAAGTGTATTTTAGAACCTAAATTTCAGATATTAGAAAGGTCTGAAATCCATTGTTGCAAAACCTGATACGGACCCAGTTAACTGTGGCCAGTGCAGTTATGTGCTCTATTCAACTCAAGTTTGAACAGAGTTGAGTTATACCATTTAAACTCCTGTACACCAAATGGTTTCAAGTTAGTAAATATGTTTTTACAATGATGAAAAGAGCCAACTTTAGAGATTTCCTAGGAAGGAAGAGCAAGCTTTCAGATTTTTAAGACTATAGAAACTCAGGCTTCAACACGGAAAGAAAGCCTAATTTGAAAAATAATCTTTATCATTACCTCTACTAATGAAAGTAAGAGTTTAAAAATTACAGTATATAGTATCTCCTGACATTCTAAAGCTATTAAAATTTGGATTTTTATCAAGATGATATAATACTAGATATACTTTCCACACTGTTCTTGTTTGCTGGTTGAGAGGTGCTACCATCCCACAGATAATCTCATTTCAGGGCTCATTCATATTAAAGATTCTGTTAAAAATATTACAAAGTGCATTAAATACAGGGTGCCCCTTACCTGACACTGTGATTACACTAGAATGACCCAATTTTAAAGATGTAATTCTCTGAATCAAATAAGAAAAAGACTTTTAATAGGTTCACACACAGAGTAAAAACCTTTGAGTTGATCTGGAGTACATCTATTTAACATACCAAAATCATAGCCAAATGTACTGATCTGAATTTTTAGAAGAACTGAAACCTGAGATTATGCATGGGGAGTAGCTCTTTAAATTTAAAAATTTCAAGTTAAAACTAAGTATTTTACTTCCTTATAGAGTTCTAGAAGGCATTAGATAATTACTTGGATTTATTTTGTTTTTGTCTCTGGCATGAAACCAAGAACTGAGTTTGTTTTCACACCCTTTAAAAATCTTTGCCAACTTACTCACCAGAAGCTTTTAAACACATTTTCTTGTTATCACCAGTATGAATTTCCCTTATATTGCAATAACTCTTTCCTCAGTTGTTAAAATCTGTGTGTTAAGAGGATTTACTACCTAGTGCTTATATATTTATTGCTGAGAGTGTACTTGTTTTGAATAGTTAAGCAAAATTCTTTCCCCCAAAAGGGAAGTAGCCTACCCCTCCCCACCCACCCTCACCCCTCCCCCCCTCGCCCAGACTAAGTAAAGGCTCATTGTAAAAATTTGGGCGATACAGAAAATTATGAAGGAAGAAAAGTGATCACATTAAAAATTAATCAGATTTATCCCACTATCCACTGATGATCACTGTCAGCATTTAACATCTAGTATATACAAATGCATCTTTATTTTACAAAAATAGGCTTATAGCCCTGACCACTATGGCCAAGTTGGTCAGAGTGTCATCCCGTAACCTAAACGTTGCGGGTCTGATTCCTGGTCCAGGGGCATCCGAGAGGCAACCAATCAATGCTTCTCTTTTGCATCAATGTTCTCTCTCTCTCTCCCTTCCTTTCTCTGTAAAGCAATGAAAAAAAGTGTCATCAGGTAAGGATAAACAGAAAAGAGGATTATATTATATAATTTACTTTGTTATTTTTGTTTTTCACTCAATATGATTATATTTCTACATCAATAAATATAGGAGTGTATCGTCTTTTCAGTGGTCTCCTCATATAGCCAGTCTGAAAGTATACATTCATCCCACATTATGTAATTTTAAAAGAGTTCAAACTTTCACACCTTTGGTGAATGTTTTTAGGGAATTGGCAGACTGCAATCCATATAACAAGCACTTGGTTGGTACATTTTTAAACCCAGTCCTTATATGTCTGGCAAATGTAAACCATTCGAGTTTGTTCATGTAACTTTTCTTTTCATAACTAACTGACACTGTATATCAGTTTTACTAATATAAGCATACAGTAATTTTACATATTTAGAACTTTTTCTTAAAGCCATGCATTTTAATTAACCCTATGATTACTTGTTTCAGAGGTATATACATATTTAAGTGGAATTCAGCAGATAAACCACTGATTGAATTTTGCTTCAGTCTTGCTAAACTGAATAACTCTGGGACACCTGTTCTTAAATTCATTGGATTATCTGTTTTTCCAGCCATGAGCACTGTTTTTTATAGCATCTTCATTTTTCAGTGAAAGAGCTAGATTTTTGTTAAATCATTTCCCCCTTTAAATGACACCGCATGTCATCTCTTGAGCCATCAGGTGCATGACTAGTGGGTATGTCTGCCCAGTTTGGTAACTAGATATATTGTATGTGATATATGTTTGACTTGATAATTCTTTTGCTAGAGTCTTGTTCCTTAATATAGTGCATGCTTTCTGAAATAATCTTGAAATTTCTTGTCGAGCTCTTTTTAAAACCATCTTGCTTGATTCCTTTTCATCACTGTTTCTTTTCTCACCCTTCTCAAGCTGACTGAATCTTCTGATGAGGTAACAAATTAGCTTCTGTCCCTCATAGTTCCTTATTCCTTCCCTTCCCTCTAACTTCATAAGGTCATTAAGAGTGACCACCTTTTTTTAACAGTTTGGATTTGACATACATTTCCTGCTGATGTTTATATAACATAATTTTGTATTTCCATTGCCAAAAGAACTATTATTCCCAATCAGTGGTATTCGGAGAGAAGTATAGTGATCAGAGAAATGAAACAAGTACAGTGATGAGAGTTAAAATGAAGACTAATTGAATATGTATGTCATGCAATTTTACTGAAAAAATAGATTCTTTGAAATTGAGATCTTCTCTTTTGTGGCCATTGCTACATTACATAGACCTCAGTACTACCTCACATTAGCTGCTCAGCAAACAAATGTCCCCAGTTTTAATTCATCCAGTGAATCTTAAAAAGAATTGGAAGCTGGGATAAAAACCGTCTTTTTAGGCTCTGGAGAGAACCAGCTCCTTACTGTATTGGAGACGTCAGGCGTGGTCTTGGGTCATTGCTAGGAGAAACACAGAAACCAGCACATTTTCCCTCTTCATCAGAGGTCTGCATATGGCCCCCACTCTTCAAAGTAGATTTCCTGGCAGTCATAATCCCCTCTGTCTCTCTCACCAATTTATTGTACTCTCTGGCTGCTCATGCAGTGTTTCAAGCTTCTTGTATTTTCTGTGTTTTGTTTTTTGAGTAATCATGACAGAATTGACAGCATTACTGAACAATGTAGAACATTTTTATGTATTTATCATGTTTATTCTTCTGTCCTTCATAATGATCTAAGTTTAGCATCAACTTGATCTTGAATTTAGCATTTAATTGTATTCAAGGCTGCAGCCATGGCTCCACTGGAGGAGGAACTGAAGAGAATGGGCTCCCCAGAAGAGAGGAGGCAGAACTCGGTGTCAGACTTCCCACCCCCTGCTGGCCGGGAGCTCATTCTGCGCACCACTGTGCCCCGCCCTGCCCCCTACTCCCGAGCTCTGCCTCAGCGCATGTACAGTGTTCTCACCAAAGAGGATTTCAGACTGGCTGGTGCCTTCTCGTCAGATACCTCCTTCTTCTAATTCTTCTAGAGCTACTCCATTGTGGCTTTAGAGACAGAGCTGACCCCTTCTGTGGGAAGGAGGTTGTGCCAATCAGAACCCCAGAGGCCATGAAGAGGGCCTTTCTGGTTGAATGAGCATGCATCATACCAGCATCTGAAAGACTTTCTCTTGACAAGCTTGGGCTGTTTTGTAGCTTGTGGGATCAGAGATAATGGCTTGAGCTGGTGAAAGATTTCTTCCCCAAAGTGATGGCCCTTGTTTGGTGTGTGGTTAGGGACCAAAAAAAGCAGGAGCTCTCTGCACTTAACTCTGGCAAGATTGTGTTCATTTATTATTTTCTGTGACTATCCCTTAGGCTATTGCCTTGCATTCATAATCTGTGTAAACACTTCTTATTTTATTAGTATCAAGTACGCAAAATAGAGTATCTGTTAACTCAGATTTCTGGATATTGTGAGGGTAGATTATATTCTCAGAGTCTGTATTTTTAAAATATTAAATGACATCCTGTTTATTCAATCACCTGATAGCCATCTTAATTGTACTAATTAACTTTTGATGAGCATTTTGAATATTCTATCTAGGAGGAAGCCTAGAGTTCGTGTTTCTCCATGTAACTGTGATCTAAATGTAATCCTCTGATAAAACTGTATTAAATGTCACTGCAAATTAGTTTGATATCTGTCTTGTAGGGTTTGTGTCTCTTGTTTTGTTTTGGGTGCCACATAAAAAGTGATCAACCTGCACTATGTTGTTTCCTTCTTCTCTTGGTATACAGTATGCATTCCTTTTGTGGGGTTGCTGGCTGGGTACTGTACTTAATGAAGTAGAGATTGGCACACGCTAAAAATATAGCCTTGGTACCTAGATTATCATGCAGTTAGTATAATTTGATATATGTGCTACTGTAATGAATAGTAGGTTATGTCAGTGAACTGTTTTACTTCTGTATTTTAGTTAAAATGAAAATAATTGGTGGGGATATGTAGTAGAACTGAGCATAAGGATAACAGCAACATACTTCTAATTATCTGATGATCAAGGTCTGTTAAGTCTGTGTTGCTATATGGCCTTTGTTCAATGATCTTAAATCTATTTTTAGGCCTAAAACTCCCACTTTAATCCAGAGTTTTTAAAAAAGTGGTTACTGAAGCATAGACCTTGCTAAGCAACTTTAAGGAATTAATAGAGCTATGTTAACCTATTATTTTTGTAAAAAAAAATGTATATACATATGTGTGTGTGTGCGCATATGAAGAGGGGAGGCCTGGTTGGTGACCTCCCAGCTGTCACAGCACTGCTCCCTGAGATACTGGCCTCGATTGCAGGGGCACCGCACAGAGGCAGCGAGGATCGAGTTTGCTTCCTAAGGAGGACCATAACTAAGAATCATGTTACAAGGAGAGGCTGGACTTTAAAAAGGATTGTGAACCTAATAAAAAGGAAAGTGCTGCTTTCTTGGGCTTCTTTTCTCTTCTTTTCTTCCCTTTGGTGCTTTATTCTTATTTCAGTTAGCCTTGTGCTACCTCAGATCTTCCTAAATATTTGCAGCCTGCGTGGATCTTGCAGGCATCTCAAGAATACTCTTTGTGCCTTTTTATAATGGAAAGTACCCCATTTTACTTTCCTTGTGTGTTTATTTCACAGGTATTTTTAGGAACCTACTTCAAGTCAGGTACTGCACTAGGCAGTGAAAATAAAACAGGAACCAAGACTCACTCCTTTCAGTGACCTGCCCATCAGGTAGGGAAGGCCGATGTCACATTGCCATGAAATGGAGAGTACAGTCAACCCAACCGGCTGTATGAATGGAGGTCTCACATGTAACGTATAAATTCATTCATTCATTCGTTGGTATAGCAATAATAATGAACATAAGGTGTTATGGGAGAGGTTTTTCACTCAGTCTTTAGGGACCAGGAGACTCTTTCTACAGGTGATTTCCAGATTAAGACCAGAGGATGAGTAGCAGCTGACAAAGACGTAGGAGAGTAAAGTGCTTGCAAAAAACTACAATAATTCTCCCATCCCTATATGTTTGCCCCCAATTTATTATGATTTTATCACTGTTCCCAGGAAGGAACTCATTTCTCCACCACTTCATCCTGGACTTAGCCATATCTTTCTGTCATCACTGGAGTATTAGCAAATGTGAGGATGGTAGAGACTTGATTGAAAAGTACTTGCACATTGGGGCTTATGTTCTCTTCCTGCTGGAACCCTGAAACATGCAAAGTACCTGCTGAAGGAAGAAAGAGATGGGGACGTTTGTTATGCAGAAAGTTAACTGATAAAGGAGCAGGTAGGAGGAGTATTTCAGGTAGAGAAAATAGAATGGGCCAAAACTCAGAAACAAAAGAAAATGTATCCTTGGAGAAGAGCCAGCATTTCACTTTGGCTGGAGTGTGGAACCCAGAGTAGAATGAGGCAGGAAATTAAGATGGTAAGGTAAACTGAGGTGAGATCAAGAAGTTCTGCATAAGCCACAGCAAGAATGTTGGGCTTTATCTCAAAGCAGTGGTGAGTCATTAAACAGTTTTAAGCAAGGGTGTGACATGGTGGGTTTAAGTCATAATGTAGCAGGACAGACAAATGGAGAGTCTAGGAAAGTACATACATATCCTAGATCTTGTACTAAATTGGAAAGTAGCAATTATATTGTCAGTGTGGTTTTTTTTTTTTTCCCCTCATCTTCTGTTCTTTGTAATGTGCTGCAAAGAGCCTGGCAAATGCTCATGGAACCAACATGAAATGTTTTCACTTTGGGCACCCCCACCCCACCCCTACATATTCTTACACCACTATGATTATTAAGATTTGTCTTCACGCTAAAATTTTTTAAATTTCAGTAAACACTTGTATTTATTTTCCATTCATTAGTCCAGTAAATGTTTATTGAGTGCCACCTATGGGCCAGGTTCTGTTCTAGGCGATGAGGATACAGCAGTGAACAGGACAGATAAAAGACTGGCTGGGTAGCTCAGTTGGTTAGGGCATCATCCTGATAGGCCAAGCTTGTGGGTTTGATCCCCCCGTCAGGGCACACACAAGAATCAACCAATGAATGCATAAGTAAGTGGGGGGAAGAATTGGTATTTCTCTCTCACACATGTTTTCACTCTCTCTTTAAAATTAATTAAAAAATAAACTTATGGAGATTACAGTAAAGGACACCAAGTCTAAACAAATTATCTAAGAGAAAAGAAGAGTGCTTTTTATACAGGTGAAAAGGGAAGGCCTGTGAGGTAGTAACATTTGAGTGGAGACCTGAAAGAATTGAGGGACGCTGCTTTGTGAGTGTCTGGGAGATGATTCTGGATGGGGGATAGGAAATACAGAGCCCCAAGGTGGGAGTCCACTGGAATTGGAAGCACAGACAAAAAAAGGCCAGTGTGGTTAGCGTAGAGTTAGTGAAGGAAAGAAAGTTGGACAGATAGGCAGAGAACAGATGATACAGGGGACTTTTAAAAATCTTGACTCTGCTGTGTGGAGAAAGTACTGCAGAAGCAGGGGTGGAAGCAGGAAGAGGAGGATTGAGAGAGGAGCCACTGAGGTAGAAGGAAAAAACAGAAATGCAATGTCTAGGAGCCAAGAAGAAAAACTAGTTGAAGAAGGTGGGAGTTGATCACTTGTGTCAAATGCCATTAAGATGTCAAGTAAGAAGAGGTCCAAGGAATTGGCTGTTGCACACCTATGTATGCAGAGTAACAAATGCATTCAGAGAGGTAATGAAATTCCCATTGGGAAAGAACAGAAGTTACCTTGGAGGGTGTACTGGGACCCTTAGCATCTGTGAATGCACATAATATTGTACTTTTGCCCCAAGCCGGAAGGGGTTTGGTTGCTGCGTGCTGTTCCTTGCCAGGAACTGGAGGGCAGGATATTGAATGGGCAAGAGCATGAAGCTATTCTCTAGTCGTTTTGAAGCCAACTGCAACCCTAGTCCCTGCCCTCTCTTGCTGCCAGCTCCTTTTAGGCAGGCAGGATGATGGAGAAGGCTTGGCATTCGACAAATGCTGAATGGATGGATCAACGAAGGAATGAATGCCTCTTGAAGGCAAAAGAGGCCCCATTATTGTGTTTGGATCTTCTGGCCTCTTTCTTTTGGCCATTGGGCACCATGATACCAGAACATTTCAGAATATTAGCTCCTGAAAGCCAGAGGACCGCTGACAGCATTTCTCCAGCTCCGAGAGAGGGCTTGGTATCAGCCTGTGAAAAGTGCATTTGGTGAATTTTGAAATACAAAATAAAACTAATTCATAGTAGCACGACTTCTTTAGCAGCAGTTTTTCTCAGGCAACTTGTGACATCTGACAGACCACCCACCCTCCCTGACCCCTCAACAGTCTCACCTACTGCAGGAAGCTTTCCTGGACTGAGCTTATCAATAAAGGAAGGAGCTGAACAGAAGACCCCTCCTGGGAGAGGACAGGAACACAGGCCACACTCTGAGTCTCCGAAGAGGTGCTCCAGCCACCCCTCCACCACCCTGCCTCTGCGGTGCGAGGCCTCGGGCAGCTACTGACGGACTTTGGATGGCAGCTCACAGGCACCTTTCTTCTGCTGCTGCTTTACAGCTGTATGGCTCTCTCTTAGGAAGTTGCATTTCCGTCCCTAACAGATTGGGAAGAAAAGCAGGATTTATTTTTTCCATGCAGGAACCATGATGGAATATTCGGTTTTTGTATTAACTTTGCAAATTTTTCTCATCTTTGCCACAGAATCAGGAGGGCCAGTGGCTGGTGAGGCAGACGTGAACCCGATGGGCTGGCCCATGCTGGACTAGCTACTCCTTTGCTTCACAGCTGGTGAGCTATTTGCACTATATAAAAATTAGCCACTGTGTTAGTTTCTGATGACAGCTGTAACAAAGTATCACAACATGGGCTTCCAAAGCAGAAATTTATTGTTTCACAGCTTGGGACACTACTAAGAAAGGTGTTAGCAAGGTTTCGCTCCATCTGAGACCAATAGGGAGGATCTTTCCTTCCTTTTTGAAGCTGCTGCTTGTTGTGAGCAACTCAGGCATTCCTTGCGGGCAGCAACGCCAGCAGGACTTCACTCTCTACCCCTGCTATCACATGCCCCAGTCCCCTCTGTGTCTGTGCCTCCTCCTCTTCTTACATCACCAACCACCCAGATTAAACATGACCTCCTCTGAACTGTTCACATCTTCAGTGATCCAAAATAAAAATGCGGTAACATTCTTAGGAAGTGGGGTGAAGACCTCAACACAGCCATCT